TGGATTCATTATGAAAAATTAAAAGTTGCACTATTCACTATAAAAATCTAAACAGTTGCACTATTCACTATAAAAATCTAAACTTGGACTAAACATTTACAATGTAAATAATTATAGTTGGGACCTAAAACACGGGAAATTTAATCCACCCCTTCTTAAATTCCTTGTTATTTACGTAACAATTTGTTCACCATCAAATCATTTAATGCAATGGGTGTTTTCTTCATTTTATTTTTTTTCTTTATTGTTTAGCTTTTATCAAAATTAATGTTTTAAAAACTGGATCGGACTGGTCAATCAGACAGGTTGAACTGAGAATCGATGGTCCAGTCGATCGAAATTTTAAGTTGAATTGGTTATATATTCGACCCGTTTCAAATTAGATTGAATCGGTCAATTTTTTAGTTTGACCAGTGAACTAGTAGGTCAAACCAGTTCAATCACAATTTTCTTAAAATATTTTTTAAGGGACCACAAATCACAAAAATAGCAATATGAATTAAATCTGTTAATGGAAGAACAAAATGTCTTATTAAACATAAGAATGACTACTTGTTTTAATGTATTTGTTTGTAATATGTGCAACTTAAATAACTTTTATAGTATATTATTAATTTTAAATTATATATTTAATAATATAATATCTATGTAGATATTACATATATTATTTTATGATATCAATTGCAAGTATATTATATATGTATATATTATTTATATTTTTAATTTGTATTAATATATAGTTTAACATGTAATTTTTTTATGTATTTTTTTATACAAAATAAAAATAGAGATAACTTTAAATAAGATGAAAATTGAAATTTAAAATAGGATAGGAATTTATTAAAATTTATAAGTATAAAATATATTTAACATGAATATTTTTTTTAAAAAAAATAAAAATCGGGTCATGTGGTTCAATTAGTGACCTACCAGTTCAACCTTTGACCCATTGACTCAATACCCTAATCGATTTGATGACCGATCCAATTTTTAAAACTATGATAAAACTCTTTTATAGAGTGGTGCTGATCTGTAAAAAATAACCTTATAATACAATTTAAGTAATTAATTATGAATTCAAAATATATTTTATATATTTAAAATATTTATTTGTTATAAATTTTAAGTATAATATAATTTCTATATCAAAATATTTATTTATTATGAACCTGAATTGTACAAGAAACAAACATTTATATATTCTAAGATATTTATTTATTTCTTAAATGTGAATTATCTATTCCTATATTATAAATTAAAATAATTACATTAATTTTTTTTACAATTAAAAATACATTACTTAAATATTGAAACTTTCTTTTCTCTCTCTTTAATGGTGCATTTCACATATCGTACTAGTTTGTTTAAAATTTAAAAACGATGCTAATTTTTTTTTATGAAGTAAATAGGAATTTTTTTAATATTTTTAAATTCAATTTAGATAAACAAGTAAAAAAATAGAAAATAACTTATTTCATTAAAAAAACATTTTTTTAAGAAAAAACTTAAACAAATAGGCTTGTTATCTTAAACTATTATCTATTTTTATCTATATCTATATATATTATTTTAATTATCTATCCATTTTAATTTACTCTTTTTAAAATTTAAATATCAGTGGTTAATTAAGAAGCAATAAAAGTGGAGAGACTTGGTGAGAAATTTTCACGCAACATTTAGTACCTTCTCCTACACCTCCAAATAGGGAAGGGGTGGTTCAACAAAGATTTCTTTTGAGATAAAGTATTAGATCAACAAAGCAGATTTCTAGAAGGAAACATGTTGATCTTATAAAGTAGAAAACATTTCGAATTAAGTTGGAGGTGGATACATATTGAAGTGATGTTTTTTGGATGATAGTATCTTGTAGGAGCTTTGGAAACAAGCCATTATTGTGAAGCTCTTAGGAAAATCTTTGAGTTTCCTAATTAGTATGAGGGATCATCCTTAGACTATTTGAAAACTATTGGGTGACTTTGATATGAGAGAAATAGGTAATGATTTCTTTATGATCAAGTTTGACCTTTACCAAGATCAGGATGTTGTTATTGGTGGGAGTTCGTGGATGATCTTTGATTCCTAACTTGTAGTTAGACCATGGATGTCAGGTTTTGTCTCTTCAATGGTCTAGATAGTACACTAGTTTGGATTTGTTTTCCTTGTTATGTTATGGAATATTATGATAGGAACATTTTGCTTGCATTGACAACAGTCACAATACACCTATTAAGGTTGATATTCATACAATTGACTATTTTATGGGAAAATTTGCCAGAGTAGTATTGAGATTGATTTAAAGAAATCGGTGGTTGGTAGGGTTTGGTTACATAGTAATTAGTTTAAAGTGTAGTATGAGGGCCTCCATCTGATTTGTACTGTATGGCCAATAGTTGGGGTATGTTGGAGAAGTTATCAGACATTAAGTTAGTGGTGACATCATCTTAGTGGTTACATAGTAATTGGTTTAAGAGGTTTTCTACAATGATTGGTGGTGGATAAACAAAAGAAAAAAAACTAAATCCTATGATTTAGGGGTATGAATCTGAAGGATATTTCAATTATGACTTCTAGACCTGTACTTCAAGGGGACGAATAAAGTTAATCTTTTGAAAACTTTAGAGGTTGATCAATGATTATTTAGAGTTAACATGGTTGTTACCAATAGTCAAGAGAAAGCCTACTTTTTAGTAAGGATAACGAGTAAGTTAAAGGAGGTAAAAGATCTAAAAGGTCCAAACTTGATTCGAAGAATACTGGGGTGTCCATTGTACCACAATTAGAGGTGTTCTCTATTTCCTTTTTGAGTGGGCCTTGGCAATTTGTGACAACACCACATGTTGTTGCCTATTCCAGTGTGGACAAAGGCACGATTGTGGTTGCTAGCCATGAGCCTCCCTCTATTGTATGTGACCATGGTATTATAACTAGCATGCTAGTTGAGATTGTGTGCCCGAATTGAATGCATTTTATGGATCCCCCAAAACCTCTTGATCCACTCATAAGTACGAGGGAGATGGACCATGAAGTTACTTTAAATCTCATGGTTGACAATTTTGGCAATTGAGGAAACTGTTTTAGTAGAAGTTGACATGATGACAGAAACCCATGACCATGACATTTTGATGTAGCCTCGAAGGCTTCTTTTGTTCTTATTCTTAAAATTTTAATATAATAGTTTTCAAAGATTGTAATATTATTTTGTGGAATGTTCGTGCTTTTGTGAATTAGAGAAATCATATCTATAAGCATGAACTTATTATAAAGCATTGAGTAGATTTCATTTTCTTGTGTTCTAATTCTTCTTCCTTTAGATTATATGAGTTATGGGTTCCTTGATGTGGAAGAATCACAAGGCCGTGTAGGTGACATTGTGTTTAGCTAATAAAGGTTTTAAATAATATATTTGTATTTTTGAATCTATGCCACAGTGCATAACACTTTACATATATTTGGGAAATATGGTTTGGATTTGTTCTATAGTATATGTTAGATTACTAGTCTTATTCCTTCTAATAGGAATTGGTCACACCTTCAAAACTTACGAACAGTTAGACGGGTAATGCTATCTTGGATGTGTTAGGATGTAAGCAAAGTTCCACATCGTTCAAACAAGAAGATGTACGTGAATTTATATACACACAATTGTCTGCATTGGTTGAGAGACCTTTTGGGTGATGTCCAAAAGCAAATCTGTGAAGACTTGGGCCCAAAGCAGACAATATCTTACCAACATAGAAACATGTATATATGTGTGGAAATCCCCCTTGATGCACAATAGGATGCTCATTGGAAATTTTAATAACATATTGACGCTTATTGATCTACATGATGACTTGTTTTCCCAATCATGAGTTGCTTCTTTTGCAAGTGAATGAGATTATTTTGGTAGAAAATGTACTTGGTAGAAGAAATGTTCAGGTAAGGGTAGGGGTAATTATCTTTCATAAATTACATAGAGACTCTTGTGATCAACCTTGACACATGACATTTCCATTAACTTCTATTAGGCATCTTGTTAAAGGACAATATAATCATTGTCGTTTACTAATGAGGTGCAGTAATCATATGACGTCTAGAGAGAGTAAACCGTTTCGCTTCTAGATGGCATAGTGTATTCACGAGATCCTACTTTGATGTTGTTTGTCAAACCTGGAATAAGGATAAAGAGAGTGTAGCTAAGTCCTTACACAATGTTGTAGTGAGTTTTACTCATTTCAATAAAAATTTCTTTTGGAATATTTTTGGTATGAAGAAGGAACTCGAGGCATGATTGAAAGGAATTCAAAAATCACCGCAGAAAGTTGATCTCTATAGTTTAAAATATTTATTTATTTATTTATTATAAATTTTAAAGTTTAAATTTACTTTTGGTCCCTATAGTTTGTTGAATCTGCAATTTTTGTTCTCTTAAAAATTTTATTACAAATTTGACTCTCTTAATTTTCAAAATTAAATAATATTGATCTATCGTTAATATATTATTTTAAATTCAATAAAAAATATCGTCGAATGTTTGTTAATAATATTATTTCCCGTTAGTTAGCCATGTAGGATATTAGTAGTATTAATTTTAAAAGAATGATTTAATAAATTATAAATTTTAATAAAAATAAAAAGAAACATATTATATATATAGTAAAAAGCAATATTCCATGAAACTTATCATAAATGAATAATTGTTGAGTAGTATTACATTACCTATAATCATATCAATATTTTCTATTTAATTTTAAATGACATATTAATAATATATCAATATAACTTAATTTTAAAAATTAAAAGATTGAATTTGCAACAGTTTTTTTATTGAGATACCAAATTTACACATTTTCCAAACTACTACATGGAATAAATTGAATTTAAGCCAAATTTTAATTATATAAAAATAATCTTTGATTAAATAAATAAAACAAAAGTTGTTTGTAAGTTGTAACAAAAAAAAATCTAAAATATAACATTTGGCCTTGTAATGCGGAGACAATAACTAGAAAAGAAACTATTATTAAAAAAGATGAGAGGATTAGTACTGGAATCGGAAACAAGGAAACGCGCGTGGCTCTATAAAATTGTGCCTGTAGACTCGTGATTAGATTACCCCACTAAATTCATCTCTATCTATCTCATCTTCTCTCGTCTTCGGAGCTATGGATCCCTACAAGGTTTATTTTTCTTTCAGATTCGATTTCTCAACTTGCTGGTTAATTTTCACGTTTTAATTTATCCCTAAAATGGAGTAATTGGGTAGATAAAAATTAGAGGTGAGTGACTGTGACTGGTGCGTGTGTTGTGTTTTATTTTTCCACGCAGAATCGCCCATCGAGCGCTTTCAATTCTCCCTTCTGGACTACCAATTCTGGTGCTCCCATCTGGAACAATAACTCATCGCTCACGGTTGGATCTAGAGGTGTGTTTGATTTTCATTTTGTGCCACTGAATTGAATTAGGTAATGATTAATTGAAACTGGGTTTGTTTGGGGCAGGTCCTATTCTTCTGGAGGATTATCATCTGGTGGAGAAGCTTGCAAATTTTGACAGGGAACGGATCCCTGAACGTGTTGTCCATGCCAGGGGAGCTAGCGCAAAGGGTTTCTTCGAAGTGACGCATGACATCTCTCACCTCACATGTGCTGATTTCCTTCGAGCTCCTGGAGTTCAGACCCCCGTCATCGTCCGTTTCTCCACTGTTATCCACGAGCGTGGCAGCCCTGAAACCTTGAGGGATCCTCGAGGATTTGCTGTCAAATTTTACACAAGAGAGGTCACCACACCCAACCATATATCATTGCATTTATTCATAACTCATTCTTTACTACATCATATATTACTATCTAGAGTAAATTACGCACACGTTTCGTGAGATCACACAATCCCCCATATATAAGACATTGTGCAATGTTTTTCAAATCATTAGGTAGGTTAATGTAATGTCTAAGGAGTGTTGTTGTCATGTTTTTCAAACAATTTAGGGGAGCTAGTGTATGGATAAAAAAGCAGGGAGTTTATCTGCAATTTCATGAAACATCAGGGGTGTTAGTAGAATTTACTCTATTATATACAACTGGGATGAGGGAGGAGTTCATTCAGGAAATGATTCCATCGATGATTCATACTCCATGCCTAATACCTTGTCATTTTCATATGCAGGGTAACTTCGACCTTGTGGGAAACAACTTCCCTGTCTTCTTTGTTCGTGATGGCCTCAAGTTTCCTGATATGGTTCATGCTCTCAAACCCAATCCCAAGTCCCACATCCAGGAGGATTGGAGGATCCTTGATTTCTTCTCCCACCATCCTGAAAGCCTTCACATGTTCTCCTTCTTATTTGATGACCTGGGTGTCCCTCAAGATTACAGGCATATGGATGGTTTTGGTGTTAACACATATACCCTTATCAACAAGGCTGGGAAGGCACTCTATGTCAAATTTCATTGGAAACCCACTTGTGGTGTAAAGTGTCTATTGGAAGAGGAGGCCATTAGGGTTGGAGGGTCCAACCACAGTCATGCCACCAAAGACCTTTACGATTCAATTGCTGCTGGAAACTATCCCGAGTGGAAACTTTACATCCAAACATTGGATCCTGAACACGAAGACAAATTTGACTTTGACCCACTTGATGTAACTAAGACCTGGCCTGAGGATGTTTTGCCCCTGCAGCCAGTTGGCCGCATGGTCTTGAATAAGAACATAGATAACTTCTTTGCTGAGAATGAACAACTTGCATTTTGCCCTGCCATTATCGTACCTGGTGTGTACTATTCAGAAGATAAATTGCTTCAGACTCGAATATTCTCCTATGCTGATAGTCAAAGACACAGACTTGGACCAAATTATCTGCAGATTCCTGCTAATGCCCCCAAGTGTGCACATCACAACAATCACCATGAAGGTTTCATGAATTTCATGCACAGGGATGAAGAGGTAAATTATTATTTTTTCCCTTATCCTCTCCTGTTAACTACATGATGGGCCTTAACTCTTACTGTGATATTTCAACTTATGCTTTAGTTGTTTGCATCTCCCCCAAAATGACTGACTTCTACTGTTTATAGGTCAATTACTTCCCTTCCAGGTATGATCCTGTTCGTCATGCGGAAAAGGTTCCCATTCCTCCTCGTATCCTAGGTGGGAAGCGTGAAAAGGTTAGTTTTTGTCAATTTCTTGGTGATCAAGACATAAAATATTTGTTTGATCAGTTCACTTTCTGAAGAAGGCAACAAGTGTTACAAGGAAAATATCTTTATTTGGCATGCTCTCCTTAATCAGTGATAAATAATATTGTGTAGCAATTACACTAAAAATTTAATCTGACAAGTGAGGAAACAAAGTAGAACAAATGCGTTGGTATGTTAAATAGCTATCAATTGTTATTAAAGCAAGGTCTAAATTGGGTAAGAGCGTCTCTAATGCTCTTCAAATAAACAACCCACTATATCTTTTTAGTAGGTCCATACATGCCACCTCAATTTTAAGCAGTCTACTTAAATCTCACTCCAATGAGACTTATCAACGAGTTGTTTAGTTCACAAATATCCTTTCTCTCTTTAACATCTTATATTCTCTCCTACATGTACACACACAAATGCTAAGTAACCCATAAAGAATGGCTGCTTACAAGGTACTCTTTAATTTTAGCAACTCAAAATCACATATGACATACCCAAATATTATTTTATTGTTAAGTAACTTATAAACAACTCTCATTATGGATGCTCTAAAGGTTAAGACTCAGTTTATTTATACTAGTGGGGAAGAGATACCTCGTGCCTATTTTATTTAAACAAAAAATATAGAGAAAAAAATAAGAGAGTAAAGGGAAGTTACGTGAGTAGTGAGTGAGTAAGGTGAAAAAGAAATAAGGACATTTAAGGGTAGAACAGTCTCAATAAAACCCTAAGCCCTAAAACCCTAAAGCCTAAAATTTAAACCAAAAAGCAGTTGGGGTGAAGGTATCCCCTTTATTTATCAGTATAGATTAAGAGCATATTAAAGCTAAATTATCATGTTTCTATACGTCAAATTATAAGATATAGAAAAATGCTTATAAAAATTTTAAGAGCTTCTTTCATTAGCAAAGGAATGTGTCAACAATTCTTGCTTATTGCAGTGCATAATTGAGAAGGAGAACAACTTCAAGCAACCTGGAGAGAGATACCGATCCTGGGCCTCTGACAGGTTCCTTTTTGTAAATTACTGATATGATCAAAATACAAGATATTTTTGGCATTGTGTGATGTTCGGGCATCCTTTACTGTTTTCTGATTTCTTTTCAGGCAAGAAAGATTTGTTCGCCGATGGGTTGATGCTTTGTCTGACCCACGTGTCACCCATGAAATCCGCAGCATCTGGATATCATACTGGTCTCAGGTGAGTTTTTTACATACGCTAATTGCCATTGTAAACTATGGGCTCAAGAGCTCCCTTGACACAGTTCATGTGACAATGGTCACGGGACATAGTGTAATGGTTTGATCCTAAACTTTCTTGACCCCTTCCCATTATTACCCATATTCCTTCCTTTTCTATCTTGGCCCATTGTAGACACTCACACGTCGGGACCACACCAGTGGTGGCACCATTGAACCGAAAAAAAGTTTTAGGCTCGAGAGCGTAAAAAATGAATCTTCATTTGGGTGCTCATGTGATATTCATGGATGGTTTTGTTGTGCAGGCTGATCGAACTCTTGGCCAAAAGATAGCATCTCACCTGAACTTGAAGCCGAGCATCTAAGATTGGTGGTGACAACCCTAGCTTCTAAGAGTTGCAGACATACGAACAAATAAGAAGTTTGTGGTACTGTAATAATTTGAAAGGACGGGTCCGTATATTGTATAGTTTATTTCACGAGCTCAACTTCTTGACTTGTTTCGACTCAATAATATATGTCCATTGTGATAAGGATAAGTATCTGAACGTCCCATGATTCTCTGTTCGCTTGGGAATTGGGATTTAGTCTTCATTTATATTGCAATAAAATTTTATACTGCCAGCAGTTATGAGTGTTATCCCTTTGTAACTGAAGGATATCTTTGGCACGCGCGGTGGTTAGAGTTGCTGAAGAACTTAGTAATTTGTAACTGAAGACGAGTTCTAGCATGCACCACCATGCCAGGTGATTTACAGTGGACAACTGATTATGTTGTTCTCTCAAATTCAACAGTGCATCAGTACTAATGCTCCGATTTTAGGAGTGTTTGTGGGATTGGTAACGAGTTTACATATGCGCTAAAGATTCACTATTCGCATGTATAAAAAAATAAGTATATAAAATTAATGTATTGTTATTAAAAACTCCAGCACAATATTTTGCATACCATTGCGTGAGGAAACATAAAAATATAATAAATAAAGAATAAAATAAATTACTACTAACATATAAAATTATAGGTTTATTTAATTAAATCACATTTTTAGTGAAAAAGTAGACATAAGACAAATTTATTACCAATGAATATTTATACTTTTTTTTTATCGAAAGGAAAAATATAAAAAGAAGCAAAACTAACTATCCTTTATCGTTACATATACTAAGAGCGTCTATCGTTAGTTGGGTAGATAGAGTGAGGACACCTTTCCCACATTGCAAATTTGTCTTCCGATGATGAGCCTTGCTTTGCTAACCAGTCTGCGTAGGCATTGCTTTCTCTGTAGCTGTGTTGTATGCGAGTCCTCTAATTAAAGGATACTAGTTGTTGAATCTTGGAGATGATGCTCGTGTACGAGTGATACTTAAGGCTAGATTGTTGCACCAGCTCAATTGTAGTAAGTGAAACAGAGTCACAAGCCATATTAAGAAACCTGTTGCTCCAAGCGGCATGGAGACCATGATATAAGCCACATAGGTCTGCATTCAAGTTGATGGTGATGCCACACGCTCTAAAAAACACAAGAAGCAAAACGAACTATCCTCTAACGTCACATGTACTAAGAGCATCTATCCCGAGTTGGATAGATAGAGTGAGGACACCTTTCCCACATTAAAAATTTGTCTTCCGATGGTGAGCCTTGCTTTGCTAACCAGTCTACGTAGGTATTGCTTTCTCTGTAGTTATGTTGTATGCGAGTACTCTAATTAAAGGATACTAGCTGTTGAATCTTGGAGATGATGCTCATGTACGAGTGATACTTAAGGCTAGATTGTTGCACTAGCTCAATTGTAGTAAGTGAAACAGACTCACAAACCATATTAAGAAACTAGTTGTTCCAAGCGACATGGAGACCATGATATAAGCCACATAGCCCTGTGTTCAGGTTGATGGTGATGCCAAACGTTCTAGAAAACCCATGATCCATTGGCCACAATGGTTTCTAAGAAGACCACCAAATCCTGATCTCTCAGGGTTCCCCAAGGAGCTGCCATCCAGATTGACGTTTTCAAAATTCTCCAGTGGAGGTAACCAAGACACATGTTTTGTAGTTGTCCCTTTGCTTGTTTCCCAGCAAAGAGGAGAAGTTGTTCATTAGGGTTGTAACCTAGTTAATTATCTTTCATATTGGCCTATTTTTGTTCTAAAAAACTATTGCATACATGGCCTTCCATATCAGCCAAATCTTGATAATGAATTTAAGGCCATATGTATTGTTTGCATGATGTTTTAGCCACTCGAATGGATCATTTTCATCATGTTTAACTTGCTCTACAACTCCAAGTACATTTCGTATGTGTTTGGATGCATGACAGTCATAAGATAGGTGAAAATTTTCCTTTTGATGACTTCCACATCTAGGACAAGAGGCATCTACAACAATATGTCTGTACACACTAAAGGCATTGGTAGGAACTTTACCGTGGACGATGAGCTACACAAACAACTTGATATTTTTAGGCACACTTAATTTCCATATCCAAGACCAAGTGTACGCGAATTCGCATTATTGGCTTCGTCCATTAGCCATCTATATGGAGATGTCATAGTGTAAAATCCATCCGTGGAGGCAACCCAAATAATATTATCCTCAGTATCATCATTTAGGCATAGGGTAATGAGTTTGCTTCTAATATTGGGGGGATCTATCTAGCAAGATTATTCCACTGCCACTCTCCATTTAAAAAAATGTATTTTAGCAGTAGGTCAAAGTCTCGTATATTTACGTAACTTACAAGCTCCCTAAGATATTCCTCTTCCAGAAATTTGGTATACCAAAGGAGATGTTTCCTTTCCCCACACGAGTAATAAAGCTTGAATTGAGTGTATGTGTTGCTTTAATAATTATGGCCCAGGTGTAGGAGCTAGGGTGTTCAAATTATTAAATTAAACTAAATTAAACTAAATTAAAAGAAACTAAACTGAATTATAATAAATAGTTCATCAAACTAAATTGAACTAAAATAAATATTGATTAAACTAAACTAAACTATTATTTAGTTTAGTGTACTATAGTTCTAGAAATTTGAACTAAACTATAATATTAACTAAATTAAATTATTATTAACTATAAATTAAATTGAACTACATTAAAAAAAATAATTTAAAATCAACATTTTTAAATTGAGCTACCAAATCATTGATATTAATTATGAATTAAATTTAAAATAGTTTGAAATGTAAAACAAGTATAACATTGATAAAAGTCCACATGATAGATTTTTCATTCATATTTTTTGAAAATCAATCAAATCTTATTAATTTTCAATCAATTTACTGATCTTATTAATTATTAAATAAAAAGTTTAAAAATAATATCTAAATATTACATGTAACTATTTTTTTAAGTTAATACATTCTTTACAAAATAGTATGACTTTTAAAAAATATTATAAAAATGTATACCGTTACTTTTATAATGTTGTAAACTCAATTGTTAAACTCAATTAATTAATATTATAATTTTTTATTAAAATAATAATATTTTTTAGCATCAAAAATAAAATTATTTGGATAATAAAGAGCGAAGTTTGTACATACATATATAATACATTTTTTAAATTTTTATAATAATTATATTAATATTGAAAGAGTAATAATTACGAAAGGTATATAAATTTTTATTCAATTAATAAATGAAAATTAATTTTTTTCTTTTAATCCTGTAAATTAATAAAAAAAATGTAAAGTTGTGCACAATAGCACTAAACCACTAGTATACCGACTCAAAAGTGAGCAATAAACAAAATTAAAAAGCTACGAAAAAAATATTAATAATAAGAATTCAGTTTTATTAATAGTTTGGTCAAACAAACTGATTAATAATAAGAATTCAGTTTTATTAATAGTTTGGTCTAACAAACTACTCTTTAAAAAATAGTTTTAGATTTATAAAATTGAACATAAAATTTATTTTAGTTCAATTTTGATAAAAATAATTTTTTTTTCTATTTTAATCCAATTTAATTATTTATTAGTTTAGTTCTAATTAATTATTTAGAACATTTCTTAATTATAAGTTTTTTTTAATAATTAAAGTACACTAAACTACTTTTTATAATAGTTTAGTTTTTAAAACTAAATTCAAATATAGTTTAGTTTAATTTTTATAAAAATTACTTTAGTTTTTTATAATTAATTTAATTTTTACAATAATTTAGTTTAATATAATTTTTTGACCACCCCTAGTAGGAGCTACCCTATTTTAGGTCTGTGTGCAAGATATGGTGATTGTCCAAATATTTAGTGGTCAACAACCTGACCCACAACTTGTCTGGTTCGTGCATTATAGACCAAGTGTGCTTCCCATTAAGGCTATATTTGTATCCCTGGCTTTCCTTATGCCAAGACCACCTTTTATCTTTGGCTTAATAATATTTTCTCAACTGACCCAATGGCTGGTTGGTCTCCCCCAAACAAATCAGCGAACACAGTTGTCAATTACATCGCACACTCCTTCTGGGAACCAGAAGTTTTACACGTGTAAGTAGGTATGACAATTAAGGCGGCTTTTGCTAATGTAGCTCTGCCTGGACATCTCCGTAGCTTTTGCTTCCACCCGTTAGTTTGTTGTTTATCCTGTCCATAATGAAGGCAAAATTGCTATTCTTAACTTGCCCTCAGAGTTAGGATGGCAAAATGGGCCGTGGCCCACAGGCTGGCCCGCCAAATATTGGCGGGCCGGGCCTATCATTTCAGTCTGCTAACTCGCCAAGCTCGTCCTGCCAAGCCCGCCAACCTGGCGGGCCAAATAGCGGGCTGGCCCGTCCCAACCCGCTAAGCCCGCATAGGTGATTTACTAATTTAGTGATTGGGCTAGTATAAATAATAGGCTTAATATAAAAAAAAAAATCAGGCCCAACAGAGCCCATTTCCAGCCACCGAGGAGCCAAAAAAATCAGGCCCAACAGAGCCCATTTCACTACTTCCTGACCCCAATGTTATTTTGATAATTACCGTTAATTCACTAGTTGTCATTTTTAACATTTTTCTTAAGTAAATGAAATTAATATTGGTACATGTTGGTGAATGCATACTGTAGAATGCGGGCTACGTTGCACAACTAGATGCTCAAAGACACAGTACAAGAAATCGTGCTTGTTCTTCTGCAAAAAGTGTTGTGCCAAGTGCTTATGTGTGCCTCCTGGTACTTATGGTAACAAGCAATGATTCCTTTTTTTATAATTTTTTTTCCATTTTTTTTATTTAAACAAAATATATATATATATATTTTTTTTGCAAAATACTTTTTGGGTACATGGACTGGCCCGCCGGCCCGCCAACCCATCCTTAGGCGGGACGGGCCAACATTTTCAGCCCATTTTTCATTGACGGGCCAGCCCGGCCCGGTCCGTTTTTGGCGGGCCATTGGCGGGGCGGGCCAAACGGGGCGGGCGGGCCCGTTTTGCCACCCCTATCAGAGTAAAGGGAAGCCTAAGTATAATTTATAATTTGTTTTTTGTACAAGTTAATGTTTATATTATTAATGAGGATGAAGAAACAAAAACAATATTTTATTTGAGGAAAAAAAGTACACACCCTTTATATTTTTGGCCCTAATAGGATTGAAGTTGGGTCTTTTCACAAGACAAGCAATGCATATACACTATTCTCGTAAGCTATCATATAAAATTTATAAA